CACTTTCATCGGTTACAATTTTTGATAATCGCACGGTTACGAAATAACTGCCAACGTGGTTAATCGGTTGAGATCGAATAGTTACACAAATTTGTTTTCTTTCCTCAAAACGGAGGGAAAATTCTTCAACTTTACAAACCCTTTTACATATCACACTTTGAAGATACGTTCGAGTTTAGGAGACGTATATATAATATGATCGTTTGGTTAGCCTAAAAATTAGATAATTGACCACTTTACGACCTTATAGGAACCAGTCGGGTAGTTGAACTTTTGAACTAAATTGATGTTAATACTAAGAATGATTATATTAAGTCTAAGTCAAATCATTCTAAGTGCTAGCTTGAAACCAATTTTGAAATCTATAAATTAAAGTTTGTGATATTGTGGTAGGTTGATTACATTCATTACACATTTATTGCTAATACTATGTGATCCTTACTAACTTTAGCATTAGAGTGTATTATGCAAGTAACTCTTAGTTCAAACAAACAACCAATATAAAGTAAATGAAGAACCTTAATTCGTATTTAAATTTTGAAGATTGTTAAGTGGAAAAGACTTGACCTCAATTCCATAAATCAAAACAAAAATTAACAAATATTTTTTTCCTAATATATGATTTTTGTTCTCCAATCAAGCCTAAATTAACTTTAATACCTATTTTGGTCCATAGTTTTGGGTTTTTTGTTCAAAGTGGTCCTATCTGTTAAAAAAAAAATTAACGGTACAATTGTCTTTGTGGCCAAAAGTGAATGATGTGTATAGTTTTTGCAATACGTGGCACGTTTGATATAATTAAAAGTGTAAATTAAAAAAAAAGTTGAATGACATGAGCAAGGTTTAAGAATATGGTGAAAGTGGTCTTCAATTGAAGGTGGCTTGGTGATTCCTTGAAAACGCAACATAGGTCAGGTCAGTGTTGTGAAAATCTCCAACTTGAAGACGCAACATAGGGTTTCTCCTCCCTTTTCGTTCTGATTCGAGAGTGTTTCGCAAGAAGGAAATTTCATATTGCAGCGTTTTGGGGTTTCCTTTTCTTGTGTTTCAGATCTTGTAAATTTTAGGAATTTCATATTAGGGTTTTGAATTAGGATTGATTTTTACGTTTTGGGGTTCTTTTCTTTGTTTGAGAATTGAGTTTCCTTTTCTTGGGTTGATTTCGCGGTTTAGGTTTTGGTGTTCATTATCTTGCAATTTGGGATTTCTCTTTACCTTGGTCCCTGTTTTTAATTGCTTTGTGATTCCAACTTTAATGTGTTGGGTGGTGGTAGAATGATGACTCTCCTTTGTTTTTTGTAATCTCTATGCGTGAATGGATAGAGGAGAAAGGGAAAGAGAATGTAGATTTTGGATGACGACCGTGTGTTTTTCGAGAGTGTTATTGTGTATGCGATGAACTTGAAAAATGATGGTGCTGGAATGGTGTGTTGATTGTGGGTTCGGGATGAAGAAATGGGTAATGGGTTGTTGTTTTTCTATTTGTACAGGTGAGATGTGATAATATCTGTGTTAAAAGAATAAGAATGGAGGTTTATGGTGATGATGAAGGTGAAGAAAACTTAGATGATGGGCATGGTGAAGGAGAAGGGAACTTCTTTACTTCATCCACCTTACAATTAGTCATGACACACAACAACAATTTCACAAGCAGTAGCAAAAGTACAACCACATTCAAAACTGGACACCTCATTCACTTTTGGCCAGATGGACAATTACACCGTTATGTTTTTAACGTTATAAGTCAAAAGAACAATTTTGAACTGTTTTTTATGAAATATAAGTTCTTACTGAACTTTTTTAAAACAAAAAGCCCAAAACAAGGATAAAAATAGATATTAAACCTTCGTTAAAACATTAAATTGAGCTACTTAACATATATGTAAATATTATTAGAAATATCAACAAAGACTTTTTATTCCACTTGGTGAGATTGACTACATCCATCACGTGAGGTTGTTGGACAATCAAAATTCTTGAGACAGTATTTAGTCTAAGATCTGTTTGTAGGATATTCTTCAACTATTCCTTTTTTCTTTTTCCTCTTTTCCTTTTTCACAATACCAAAATTCACGTAGAAATTAATTAATATTAATATATAGTACTATTAATATATAATTATACTATATATAACAGAAAACAATTAATATTAATATTAATTAATTTTTTGTGATATAATTTTTCACAAGTTGTGTTACAAACGATCTTGTCATGTTATACTCATTCTATTTTGTGTTATTCCTTATATTATATATCACACATTCATTTTTAACATTCTCTTTTTATGGTACTCTTCCTTTTCTATGTTTTTAAAACTCAACACATATATAGTACGATCAAAGTTGAGTTTAGCAAGTAATTTACAATTACACATAATTTCCAAATCGTTATTTATTTAAGTGATTTTGCTAGTTTTAAATAAATGATTTCAAATATTTATAATTTAAAAGTCGTAGCTTTAAAAAGAGCTTAAAAAGGCATGGCAGAACATTTTCTCCCATTCTTACTTTGACATGCTCCCCAAGACTCTTTATTTTCAAAGTGTGTCTCCAAAGTTAAAATTTCTTATTAATTTCCCCTTTGATTCCTTTGTTAAGATTATATATCATCACAAAAAGCCATGCAATTAAAAAATTCATTATATTTTTATAACTACGTCAAAGCTAGATTAAAATGTGACCTTGTTATAATATTGTCCCTATGAATAATTTTGTAGCTGTGATAGAGTATAAATATTTACATTGATGGAATAAAATAATACCTGGTTTTAAAAATTAGATACGAAATAATAAAAATAATATTAAATTATTAAAATAACATTTTGTTTTAAATTTCATTTAAAGTTTCTTTACTATTATTTGACATGAAAATAAGACCATATGTGTCTTTTTCATATCAATTTTTTTAATTAATTTCATTTTATAAGGAACTATTTAATAAATATTTAAGTGAATATAAGTATATTTCGTATACTAATATATTTAACAGTCAATGAAAACGAAAATAAAATATAAATTTCATACTATAGGTTAAAACTCACATTTCATCTTTCAAAAAAATAATTAAATTTACATTTTAGGATTTTTATAAGAATATCATAAGATTAAGTTAGATTAAATATTCTTTTCTCTGGTTTCACTATATTATGGTAATTTTTTTAATTTTATCCTATTATTTGCTATCAATATTTAGTTTAATTTTCTTAAAATAAAATCAATAATTTATCGTGTTAAATTGATAATAATGATATTAGAAGAATGACACGAGATATTATAAATAATTCAATCATTTAATAACTTAAAGTTTACTTGTTGATAAGAATAAAATACGACGTTAACAACGAGATCAAAGTAAAACAATTCAAAATAGTTAAATAAAATTAGAAAAATATAATGGAAACAAGGAAGAAAAAAATTATCTAACCTAAATTATAAATAGTTCCTATCTATGATGAACTCAAAGTAGCCGGAAAAGGAAATATTAAATTAGTGGTTTTACCACAACAAATGGGACAGTCAGTGGTGCTACGATGCGAGAACGCTTAGTTTGGACTATAGTGAAACAAAGTAGTGTGAGAGTAATGAAAAACCTACCTTTTCGTTACACGACAAAACAGCCTCCGTATACAATTATTGTCATTTATTATGTTTTTACAAATATTTTTAAAATGGGACCTTTCACTCCTTCACTATGTCAATCTTGTTATATCATTCATACCGTTTCAAAGTTTAATAGGTTAATTCTAATTTTAAATCACTTTCGCTTCGTTTTTTCCGATATATGTTTCTTCATTTTTCATCAATCTTTTACTACATTCTTCTCTTTCTTTCGCTTTCCGATTATTTTATGCAATTTTTAATAATTTTTTTTTTCATTTTTTAATGTCTCTGAATGCTACGTTATGTAATATAAATATGCTACATGCTGTATACACGATGGAAAAGATAAGAAGAGGAGAAAAAAATATTACGATAACCATCTACCATTTTTTTTTCCGCGTCCAATTTTAAATTTTGATGAAAGCTATCAGGGGTTGCTTTCATGTGATGTGGATAATAGATCTGCTTCACAAAATTCAACCTGCTATAAATGAGGTGAAAAAAAAAACGACACATAAATTGTAAACAACGTAAAAATCTCACCGACAAATCATAATGAAGAACGCCAAAAAAACATAAACAACTGTACGAAGAACATGATCTGTTGGAATTAGGTTCCACTTCAACTAAATGACTTTGTAACTAAGTATTTAGACAAATAATTGTTCATTTTAGATGTATAAATATAGAGAGAGAATGTAACATGTGGTCCAGATTTGGGTTGGAGGGAAATCATTGGACATGGAGAAGCTGGATTATTGTCTTTTACAAGTTGGGAAAAAACGGTACTGGGGGAAGAAAAAAATCGAGTATGAACGTTTGACTCAGCAGTGAAATAGAAAGACGTGTGCTTTATAATTAAAAAAAGAAAGTGTTTTTAAAGCACTTTTTTGCTAAAGCTTTTTTATTTTTGTGCGATGAAAGAGAGTTTGGCAAGTTCTTAAATTCTATAAGGAATATATTCGTTGTAATAAAAAATGCAATGAAGATAAATGATTCGTGTCTCACTGGACCTAATTTTGGTTGCGCCCACACTAATGAACCTCTTCACCAATGATATGGTTAGCCACTAAAATTAAAAATACTTGATAAGGCATCTAGTGAATAATGTACATGATAATCATGTTGACTAATGTGAGAGAGAAAAGGTGTGTTTTTTCTTTTGGTTGTTTTTACTATTACAGTAACCTCTAATGAAAGATAACCTTTTTCATTTATATAGAAGAAATGTTCTGAGACAATCATTTTTCATTTACTATTTAATTTGAGGAAATGAAAATAGACATTTTCTTTATGATGGGTGATGGAGTTCTTCTCACTCACCTACCCCAAGTATTTTTTTTTTCTGAAAAAATAAATCACTAAATTGCTTTAAGATCCAGAGTGAGAAAAATCCACCACCAAACCCTTTGCATAAGAAATATCTCCCATTTGTGCACACTCCTTCTTTCTTGGTTTTATATATAGGCAACAAAAATGAATGCCTCTCCCTCACCATGATTCATGATTTTATAAAGACCCATTAACGCTTTTGTAGGATTGGAACAGAGATCAAAGAAACAGAAAAAGTAGAAAAAAGAAAAAGAAAAAAAAAAAGAAAAAAGAAGAAGAATCAATGGCATCCTCTGCCTGCACCAAACCCATCTTCCCCTCATCCTTCTCCCTTTCTTCTTCCTCTTCTTCAGAATCAAAGTCAAAACTTTCTCACGTGTCGTTCATCAACACCATACCCATCTACGGAAAACTTTCCCATGCTAGCTCCTCCAAACGCTCTTTGACGGTCAACAGTGTTTTGAAAACAGTTGACCCGACAGCAACCTCGGTTGGGAGCTCGAAGTCCGAGGATGTTGGGTTCTTGGGTGAAAAGCCGACGATCTTGGTCTCCGAGAAACTTGGAGAGGCGGGGCTCCAGGTGTTACGCAGTGTGGGGCACGTGGAATGCGCGTACGAGCTCTCGCAGGAGGAGCTCTGCACCAAGATCTCGTGCTGCGACGCTTTGATTGTGAGGAGCGGAACCAAGGTGACGAGGGAAGTTTTTGAGGCTGGAAAAGGGAGGTTGAAGGTGGTGGGAAGAGCCGGTGTGGGCATTGACAACGTGGATCTGCAAGCTGCCACTGAGTTTGGCTGCCTCGTCGTGAACGCGCCCACGGCCAACACTATTGCTGCCGCCGAGCACGGCATCGCTCTTCTCGCCGCCATGGCCCGCAACATTGCCCAGGCTGACGCCTCCACGAAAGCTGGTATTTTTCTTCTTTCCTCTTCCATCATCAACCTCTGTTCCGAGATCTCATTTTTCACATTATAATCTCTTTTTCCTTCTTTCTTGTTGCCTCTGTTAGATCATCTCATCTCATCTCATATAAACTTATTTATCAGATCACTCATATACACATGTTTAGTCTTGATATATTCATTAACTACACGATCAAAATAGTGTATGTAAGTGAAGCTGTAATCGGATCTATATGTTATAGCACGCCATAATTCATCAGATAATTTGCGTATATCCAGTCTTCACATGATTCAGTGTTCTGGAGATTTTATATTGATTGGTAATTTGGTCAAAAGTGTATACGTATGGCTGGTATCTGTTGATACCATATTTAACAGTTAATGATTACATTTTCAATAACTTTTTATGAAATGTAAATTTAATCGATTTAGTTCAATTTCATTTTTATGTTAATTAAATTATACATGCAGAATTTCTTACAGCTTTTAAATTATGTATGCAATATTTAAAAATGTTTAATTCAGTATAAATATCTCTTGGACTAATGAGCATAAATAGACATGGATGTTTCAACTTTTGAAGTGGTAAATCATTCCTGACGTGTTGGTTGAGACATGAAATGACGTGAGACCGTTGTATCTGCTTATATACATACCTGAGTACTCTATATCTGTTTATGGAGAAAAACAACGTTTTATGTTATGGATGGCCATGGAGAGTGATTTTGTGGTGAATTTTGCAGGAAAATGGCAGAGAAGCAAGTATGTGGGAGTTTCAATGGTTGGAAAGACATTAGCAGTGATGGGTTTTGGAAAAGTTGGATCTGAAGTGGCGAGGCGTGCAAAAGGGTTGGGCATGCACGTGATTGCTCATGACCCTTATGCTCCGGCTGATAGAGCCCGTGCTATTGGTGTGGAACTTGTGTCCTTTGATCAGGCTATCGCCACTGCAGATTTCATCTCCCTCCACATGCCACTCACTGCAACCACTAACAAGATCTTCAATGACGACACATTTGCCAAGGTGAAGAAGGGAGTTCGCATCGTCAACGTTGCTAGAGGAGGAGTTATTGACGAAGATGCATTAGTAAGAGCCCTTGATAATGGAATCGTTGCACAGGTCAACCTCTTTGCTACAATCTCTTTTTCTTTCCATTTTTGCTTTTTTCTTCCTTATTCAACAGTAAAAGATAGATACAATGTTTTACTTTCTCCAATCAAAATTGAAAACTGACCTTGGTAATTTGAATAAAGAGATTATGCACACTTCTGGTAAGAAACTGTAATTCTGATTAGTTAGAGATAAGGACAAATAAAACCTAATAACTTTATTATTCTAAAGGATTATTATGCATAAGTTTTGTACTTTTTTTCAATTTTCAATGGGTCTCTCCAATGTTGTCACATAATGGTGCCTAAAGTTACAAACTTTGTCAAAATTGCATGTGGAGCAGGCAGCTCTTGATGTCTTCACGGAGGAACCCCCATCCAAAGACAGTAAGTTAGTGCACCACGAGAATGTCACTGTTACCCCTCATCTTGGAGCTAGCACCAAAGAGGCACAGGTTTGTTTTTCCTTCACAGTATTGCTTTCTAGTATTCAATAAATCCAGCATATATATTAAGCTCTGTTGTGTAGCATATATACATCATCTCCTAACAATTATACTTCACCAGGAGGGTGTTGCTATTGAAATAGCAGAGGCTGTGTTAGGAGCATTGAAAGGGGAACTCTCAGCAACTGCTGTCAATGCTCCAATGGTTGCTCCTGAGGTAAGCATTCTGAATGTGATCTTCTTCTTGTTCCTTTCCTATACTGCAATTGCAATCAATCAAACCAAACCAAACCAAAACAAAACATGGTTGGTTCTTGTGATGGTCAGGTGTTGTCAGAATTGGCCCCATATGTGGTGCTAGCTGAGAAGCTGGGGAGACTTGCTGTGCAGTTAGTGTCTGGAGGAAGTGGGATAAAATCTGTGAAGGTTGTTTATCGATCAGCCAGAGGCCCAGATGACTTGGACACTAGACTTCTGCGAGCCATGGTTACAAAGGGCATCATTGAGCCAATATCAAACACCATTGTGAACCTCGTGAATGCAGATTTCATAGCAAAGCAGAAAGGGCTTCGCATAAGTGAGGAAAGAGTGGTTGTTGATTCATCTCCTGAGCAGCCTGTTGATTCGATCCAGGTACAGATCTCAAGTGTGGACTCCAAATTTGCAAGTGCAATATCAGAGGGTGGTCATATCAGCATAGATGGAAAAGTGAAGTTTGGTGACCCTCACCTGACATGTGTGGGGTCTTTCGATGTGGATGTGAGCTTACAAGGGAATCTGATCCTGTGCCGACAGGTGGATCAGCCCGGCATGATTGGTCGTGTCGGAAACATTCTTGGTGAGCAAAATGTGAATGTGAGCTTTATGAGTGTGGGAAGGACATCCCGCAGGAAGAAGGCTATCATGGCTATTGGTGTTGATGAAGAACCAAACAAGCAGGCTCTTGACAACATTGGAGCTGTGCCTGCCATTGAAGAGTTTGTTTTTCTGAAGCTGTAGTAGTTACTAATGATGATATATACATAAATAATGAGTATGTATGGATTTTGATCAAAGTAAAATAGCTACTCCTGGTTAAAAAGAAATGTTTTTTTTGTTTTTTTTTTAACAATTCTCTAGTTTGCTGCTCTTCGAGTGCACTTGCACTTCATCTAGATCTGTTTTTACTTATTGGTGGACTAAACATGGATGTAATATATGCTGTTTTGTATTTGGATTGGATGATTTTGAGAATAAAACTAGTTGTTTGCAGCTAGTCAGTAGTGTGTGGACCTCTGAGTTTTGCTTTTTTTCTTTTTCTGAGTTTTGCTATGACAGTATCATTGTTTCAACAAGTGCTCTAGGGAATCTCACCAATAATGTAATGTACCACCCTGAACTTGCTCAAGTTGCAAGCAATAGGAGCAATCCATTTGCTTCAGTCTAAAGTAGCTGTAAAACCTATCATTAAAGATAAAGTTCAAAAAAGGTATCTTTCTCCCCAGTTAGTACAAAGAAAAGCCTGCATCAATTCTTTCTATTTTAAAATTTCAATGAATTACAAAATCTAAAATTTGTTTATCAAGGGTAATGTTAATTAGACAACTCATATACGCATAACTGCTTAAGTACACTTGATTTGCAATGATATTGGTTTCTGTGTATTTCTGCGTACGACAGTTGGTTTACTAAATTTGTCTTTTGTCTAGGTTGTTATAGCTTGTCTGGATTTTTTTTATATGAATATCTAAACATGCAAACGAAAAAAGTTAAAACGAATGTTTGAGCAGATTCATTTCTTATCAGAAATCAAACCCACGATTGTTTATTCGTAAGTGGAGGATTTGATAAGCTTACTTAAATATATTCCTCGAAATGAGTTGTTCTTTCATCACCATCTTTTGTCTTCAAATTCAGATAGTAAAATAATATCAGCAATTAGTATATAGTCATAAACCGTGTGCATGATGCTCTTGTCACATTATTTGTTAAATAAAATATGAAGTGTTAGAATATTATTTGTTAAATAAAATATGAAATATTAGAATATTATTTGTTAAATAAAATATGAAGTATTAAAATATTATTTATTTTGTATTAGTTTTATTTTATAATGTTATTATTATTATCATTAATAAAAAGAATATACCGTAATCAACTTTATTTAGAAATATTGTGTAACTTGAAAATTTGTTAATGTCATTCTCCATCAATTATATATACAGACATATATTCACCTAGATAATATATATATATATTAGTTTTTATTATTAGTTTTAGATTATCTTTGTTGGGTATCAACATAATTTAGGTAATGTAAAACTCGTGTTTTCATCCCAAGTTTAAATATTTTATAAAAACCAAAAAAATATTACAACTAAAACAATTTAAAGAAAATTTTAAAAAGTCAATAATTTACTATTTATCATAAATAAATAAAAGAGTATATTACGAAAAAATTATTAAAGAAAGTTGTGAAATAAATTTTATATTTATATTTATAAATATATTATATTAATAAAGAATAAGATAAAATATTATATCATATTTAATATAATAAAGCAATTTTATATAACAATAGAAAAAAAAAGTCGTGACTAGTTAACCAACACGGTCGACAGGTTATATAGGCAAACACATGCTTATGAATTTAAATATTCAATCTATTCTATATTTTTGTACACTAGATGGCAAACCACTATACATAGTATCCATTCCTATATACTAGTGTAATTTACTTTCAAACTTATAATATTTCAAACTATAATTAATAAGTGTGGTAAATTTTATTTTCAGTTTTTTCTTTAATGAAATCATTATTAAATACATACCTATTATTTTCAATTTTGTAAATTACTTACATTATCATTAATCACTTTTATATCTGAAGTCATCTTTATTTTTATTAGAGTTAAATTAAAATTATGATTACAGTTTTTCCTTTTAATGAAATTATTATTAAATGCATCCCTGCTATTTTCATTTTTATAAATTAGTTACATTATCATTAATCATCTTTATACCTAAATTTACTTTTATTTTATTAGTTATTTTAAAATTATGATTACAATTTATTATATTAGTTAATTACTTTTTTTTTGTTGAAAATTTCATTTACATTGTAGTTTCATCCTCCAAACCAAATAATTTAATTTGGTACCAAGGTAGTTCTGGTTGATAAAATTTTGGTACCAAAACTAAAGCCTCACTACATACCACTTTCTGCCATTTCAAGGTAATACTTTATGTAAAATAATTTTGGTTATTTGGATTTTAAGTTCAATATAATTGGTATGGTTTTTGCAGATATTACATGGGAGTGCTTACAAGGGTTGCAACAGAAAGGAAGCTCGAAAAACAAGGAAGAAAATTAAGTTGAACGTAATATGCATCGAGGCTGATGGGTAATATTATCTGTCTATTTAATTGAGTTTTTTTAATATAGTTTTCAAGTTATTGACGTTTTCCTACTTATTAATTATTTCTTGTTGGAATATAGTTTTCAAATTTGAATGTACCCTATTTGGAAAATATGTTGACGAGTTTAATGCCTTTTTTACTTCTGGAGAAGTGTGAAATGCTATTTTAATATCCAGTTTGCGAAGCTCAAAGTTTTCCAAGGTGTTTTTCTTCATATAAATCTAGTTTATATAAATCCCATTTATATACATTAATGTTTTATATGTTAATATGTTAAAGTTGGTAACTAAGATTGAGTCTTTTGTATATATAGAGAAAGTATATGTCCATAATTATATCAATTGTACACTAACAGAATACATGGTTGATTGAGAAAAAGGCTAATGAATTGAAAAACAAAAGTAACAAGAAACTTCAATTCCTCCTTGATAATTTTGATTGTCTATTTCTTTTTATTATAGATTTTTAGGTTTTTTAATTTGGGTTAAATATGTTTTTAGTCACTCAAGTATCATGCAATTTTATATTTAGTCTCTCTCTAACAGTGATGTGGCACATCACTTTTCTTTTTTTTTGAAACGTGGCAATCTGCATCTTCAGGCCGTGAGACTTCTCTCTTATTCATCTCCATCATCCTCTTCAATGCCTTTAATGCCATCAATGCCGACAACGATGCCACCACCTTTCTACGAATGGCGATTCCAGAAAAGAGAAGGGAAAGGAGGCTTTATCCTAGCAGCGTGACCTTGTGTCATGGCGGATGAGGAAGAAAATTTTCTTGCGTTCCGTGACGAAGAAGCCCTGCCCAGATTGCACCTCTACAAATCTTCACTCAACGTCACCCCTCGAGTCAAGGTTCTAGATGCTCGTCACTACCAAAACCACAACTGCAAAGAAACCCTCTTTTTCCCAAGGTTGGGTGGTCCGCGAGCAAGGAGCAACAAAGAAATTGGGGAAAAGAAAAAAGGACTAGGGTTTTTTCTCGAGAATGGAAGGAGGAAGATTTTTGTTTATAATAAAATTACTTTAGAGAACCACGACACTTGATATTGTAATAAACTAATCGAGGTGCCATATATCACATAATCATTATTGAAGTTGAATTAAAAAAAATGCAAAGAGCCTTGACATCAAATGCTTCACTCTCCATAGACTCCAAATCATACTCATAATCATCAATATGAAGAAAATGATCATCTAGAAGCTCCCTTGCAGAGAGCCTTAGAGACACTGTTGAAAAACATTTCTCAACAAATTCTCGCACTTTTGGATGAGGTGTGGGAGAAGGTTGGTGTTGGTGAAGATGGCGAGGTAGAAGACAAGGGCGACAGAGTAGAATTTCTTTACGGTGATGGGTGTCGAACACAGTGCATAACCCACCCCGTTTGTCAAACCTTCGGTGTGAATAAGGTAGACAAAGTTGACTCGGTTTTAGAAAAAGAAAAAATGATGTGGCACACCGTTAACCAGCTCAGCCTAATTTTAACGATGTTACTTTTGGAGGATGAGAAATTATAGTTTCCTTAAGGACAATGATCAAAATGTACCAAAGTTTGAAAGAAGAACTAAATATAAATCGCATGATAGTTGAAGGACTAAAAGCATATTTAACCCTTTTAATTTTATTTTGTTTTCTTAATTCTATAGAATGTTTTAGTATTACCCTCACAGGAATTGAGTCAATTGTTTAATTATGTTTAGAAATGACAATGCAGGTCAGTCCAACTCACTTAGGCCCAACCTACACTTTGTGTGCAAAATGTGGGTTGGGCTAGCCCCTAACTTGTAGAAAATCGATTCAATATTATAACTTGTCTCACATCTTTCATGGTCACCGAGTCCACGGGCTAGCCCACATAATTTTGGAAGATTTTCTAAAACAACATTCAAGGTCATTAGATGAAGAATATCTTTTAACATGTTACTCTTGTAAAATAATAATATAATATTACAAAAGAACGTTGGCTAATGTTCATCAATGCAACGTTCAATGTTTTTTTTTTGCAACGGTCCTTCTGTATCTAGCTCTATAAATAAAGTACCCCCTACATTCCATGAAATAAGCACAAACAAAAATTCCTTTCATTTTCTAGCTCTCGTTCTTACAGATCACACCTTATTTAGCTCCCCCTCTTAATTTATTTGTTCTTTTCTTTTCTTATTTATAACTCTTATATCCTCAGTATAAACTCTTTTAGAGTTTCTTGCTAGTTTTGAGAAGTTTTTGTTGTATCTTGTGGAACTTGTGCAATACATCGTAGATAAGTCCTTAAGGACAGTGAATTTACATGCTTTAGGAAATATTGTTCGTGATTTTAACGCATGTCCACCCTTCTAGACCCGAAGCAAAAGATATTTAAGATTCGTTGATTCTCAAATACACCGTTGAAGATGTTGTCAGAAAAATATTTGTCATAGGAAACTACTACCACTGAGAAATGATTTAAGAAAAGGACATAAAGTCTTAAATCAATAAGTACCAAAAGGTGCTCGAAGATATCGAAGTAGAGAATATTCTTCTATCGGATGAATTTGTTTCAAAACTCCTAATAGAGAAATTGTTGTCATCCTTGACTGATTAC